AGACCTTCACACCACCCCGCAGATGAGTGTCTCCACCACGAAGGTATTCTCGAAGTGGCGGATGGCGTTGCAGTTCTTGGCTCCACGCTTGTTGATTCCTGCAGGGAACAGAGAAATCCCAGTGAGGCTGGTGTCCTGGCCCAGAACTGGCTGGGCTACAAAAGCCACCAGCCTTAGAGCCTGAGCAGACCTCAGAGCTGGGGGCAGGAGGCCTAGGAAAACAAACCCAGGTTCACCCAGAGGCAGAGCAGTAAAATGCTGAGCTCAGGAGCTGGTGTCAGATGGCCTGGCTCTGCCTCCCTCCTGCTGTATGACTTTAGAGGTATTAATTAACTTCTCTGTGCCTCAGTTTCCTCACCTTTAAAAGGGGCAGCAATAATGATGATAATAACTTATATTCTTTAAGGGCATAGAGTGTAAAATACATGGCATGTAGTAAGTGCTCAATTAACATTAGCTGTTATTGCTGCTGCTATCTGAGCTGTCTGACTGCTGGTCTCCAGCTCTGGGGTCAGGCACTGCTGGGAATGGCGGTGGTTTGGAGCCCAGGGCAGGGGCCACTCACGCCTCCGCGTAGCCCGGCGCCGCAGCCGGTAGGTGTCCTTCCCATTGCACAGGTGGGAGATGAAAGAGCCCAGGGACTCCTTGTCACTGACATGCTCTGTGACCACCATCTCCTCCTGGATGATATACGTCTGGGGCAGGTAGGTCCCTCTCTGCAAAGGGAGTGGCCACAGTGCTGGTCAGTACCCAGGGTTCCCTTCCCGTGGTCTCCACTAGCTCACCGCCCACTCCCCTTGTCACCATCCTTCTACTCACTTGAGCTGTGACCCTCAACGTTGAAATGCACCCCCCCCATGAAGAGGCCCCGCAGCTTGGCCTTCTAATTGTGTCCCCAGGAACTTCCTACTGTGCCGAGTACTGCACTGGCCCGAATTCTGCATGTGAGGGAGTCTGATCTCCCACCCTAAGGCCTGATCTCCCGCCTCTCCCTGCTCTGCAGCTGGGGCATGGAGTGGGGTGTGGAATGGGGCACGGGCTGGGGTGCGGAGCCCTGGCCCCAGGCCGGGCCTCCACAGGGAGGGTGAGCAGGGAGGCACAGACACTGCCACGACCGCGGCTCACCTTCACGTTCATGAGCAGCTCCCAGAAGTTTCGAGGGGGAAGCACGATGGTGGTGTTGAGCTCGATGACGTAGCACTTGTCCAGGGAGATGTCGTGGTAGGCGGTCAGACCCTGGGAAGAGCGGCTACGTCAGTCCCGTGGAGAGGGCCTGGCCCAGGCGGGGCTACGAGAGGCCAGCAGAGGCGGGAGCCCCACCCCGCCATGGCGATACACCCCTTTCCTGCTCCTCTCCTGGCCTGTGTTTCTAGTAGGTTCCACTCACTAGATGAAAGACACCAAGTGTTAAATGCCTCAGTTGTCACAGGGCTCTCTCGGGGGTCACAGAGCTGAGGTTTAGGGAGCATAGCAATGTCCTGACTGCATTTCGTCAAAGCTGTGAGGTCCACCTCTGTGGGCCCTCAGCAAGAAACGGCCCACCCCAGGGCCTCTTTGTGCTACAGCAAGATATTCTGCAATAAAAAGGGACACTGGCTGGGCTGGTGGTGCTCAGTGGCTGAGTGTCAACCCAAGTACCAAGAGGTCACCGGTTTGATCCCCAGCCAGGGCACATGCCTGGGTTTTGGGCTTGATCCCCAGCAGGGGGTGTGCAGGAGGCAGCCACTGAAGTTGATGTCTCTCTCATCCATGTTTCTCTCTCTCTCTCGCCCTCTCCCTTCCTCTCTCTCTCAAAATCAATACAAACATATTTTAAAAATTTTTAAAAAGGGGGGACACTGGTCTGATCCACAACAGCCGGTGTCTGCAGCTACAAGGTGGCGAGGAGGGAATCGTGGCTGGTTCACTCGGCGACGGCTGTGCTACCGGCACAGGGCGGGCAGAAGTAGGCTCGGCTGTTCAAATGGGAAATGATACGTACCTGCTGAGTAGTAATACAAGAACCAACCCTGTGTTTCGAGTACTCACAACCGTAAACTTACTTTTGCCCCACCCTGTATATAATAAGAGCAACGTCTTTAAATCCTCACAAAGCTAAGCCGTAGATGTGTCTACACACAGCTTAGCACCGGTACAGTCAAAGGGAGGACAAGGACCAGCAGCCTTCCCTCCGCACCTGCTCTTTCTCACCACCCGTGGTGCGGGGGCAGTGGGCCCCGGGCGCCCTCTCCCGCCCCGCCTGCCCCCGCTGGCCTACCCGCTGGAAGTCGTGGATGATGTCTGCGGGGTCGCCGCCCCCGAACTGGGGCACGGGCACGTTGATGCGCTCGTAGTTGTCTCCCAGGTAAATCTTCACGTCTTCCTCCAGCTCCACCCGGGCGCGGACCTGGGAGGACAGGGAGTCCTCGTAGAAGACGCCACAGTGGAAGAAGTTGTCTCGGGCCAGCTAAGCACGGTGGGGAGAGAGACAGGCTGGTCACACAGCGCCCTCGGCACAGCCACTGCCACCTGCCTAACGACTTCACGCTCCTAAGGCCTGGGGACACAGCACACGTGGGGCTGAGGCCCATTTCACAGATGGAGAAACTGAGAAACATGGGGAGCTGGGGAGGATGAGCCAGGCCTAATATTTTCTAGGTGGATGACCTCTCTGGGCGTTTCCCCATCTGTAAAATGAGGTGCTCCCCAGGCTTCTTCTGACCTCCAAGTCCATGAGCCTGTGCTTGGGAAGGGGTGGACCAGCATGGGGAGGACCCGAGGGACAGACACTTGAAAAAGAGCCTGGGGTGAGCCAGAGGGTCCTCAGGGGCAGCCACGGGAGCTTGGACTGGGCAAGCTGGGCCGTGGGGGAAGCATGGCCACCAGAGGGCACTCACCCATCTTTCCTGCCCCCTGCTGTGGCACCCTGAGAGGCAGTCTCTTGTGATTCCAGTTGTACCTCACGTAAGCCCCACCACCTTCCCCAGCGCCCACGCCTCGCGAGAAACCTTGACAAACGCAGCTTCCCTTGAGTGGCCAGCCCAGGTACTCCGTCAATAAGGGAAGGAGGCACTGACACATGACTGAGGCCCAGCGACTGCCCTGGTGGACCAGGAGGCCCACGCGTACTCCTCCGGGGCCCCTCCCCGTGCCCAGACTGCTGCCTAACTAGGCGGAACTCCCCTCCGGTCCCCAAGCAGGCTCCTGGGTGAGTCACCACACACCAATCCCAGGGCCGGGGCACAGACCTGGGGCTGCTCTAGGTGCCCCAGTCCCTGGGAACTGTGGTGGGTGGGGAACCCCAGGCTGTGAGCGGGGGCTGGGAAAAGAGGGGACCCGTCATCAGACTGGGTGCAGGGGAGGGCTCCAGCCACAGCAGAAAAAGGGTGAACAGGAAAGTGAAAACCTAGAATGAGTGGGGAGCAGGCCGGGGGGGAGGGGAGAGAGGACACAAGGGGAAGTCAGCAGCTTCCAAGGGGAAAGTTCCAGGGAGCAGAAACTCTTCAGTAATTTCCACTGTGGGAAAACTGGGTGACGGAGGACAGTTAAAGCCCAGCGCTCGAGGTGGGAGGAGGTCGCTTGGGTCATAAATGACTGGCAATTCGCAGCCTTTTGTTCCTCAGAGTCCCCGTTCCTTGTACTTAGGGTTCTTCTTTTGAGTTGCCTTTGATTTAACTACTTTCAGTTCATGTCCGGGTCCATCACAAGGTCGCCGTGACCATGAGCAGCTCTCCAGGCCCAGCTTCCGCCCAGACTGGCTGCAGGTTCCCAGGGGAAAGATGACAGCAGATAGCTGGGGGTGTGACCGCCTGGGTGTGTGGCCGTGGCCAGGGCCGCTTTACAGGAGGTGGTGGTGAGTCTGTCTATAAACCCACCCTCCACCTTTCTCCTCTCATAACCAACATCCAAACATGGAATGGAATGGAATTCCTCAAAGCGTGACCCATGGCACAGGGTTCGGGCTTGGAGGGATCACAGAGTTCCAATTTCTGCTGGATCTGAGTTTCTGGTGATAATGGCCGGGAGCCAGGCCTGGGGCCCCATCTTCTAGCGCACACAGACCCTGGACAAGTGTCCTTACCCATTTCATTAGACACACCTGAGGTCAACAGGAAACTCCCAGTAGTCGGCCCTGGGGAAGCCCCAGGGAGGCCCCACGGAGGGAGGGAGGCCTTTGGCATAGCCTAGGCACTCCTCCCACCTGGGGCATGCCCAAGCCTTCCTGCGGCCCCCTCCTCACAAACCCCAAGCCCCTGGCTCTCAGCTGCCCACGCCGTCCTCTCCACACTCCCCTCTGCTTCCCTGGACGCTCCCTTTCCTCTGCGACCCGGCCTCCCCCTGCCCGGCCTCACCTGGGCGAGGAAGAAGTATCTGTAGATGTAGACGGAGGCAAACACGAGGCCCATGAGCAGCACGACCATGCCCATCGACAGGTAGCACACGCTGCCCACGGACCCCCCCTTCCTGTGGCGGTGGGAGGGGGGCCGCTCCTCCTGTGGACAGCAGTGCAGGGTCAGCTGGGTGGGGGTCGTGCACCCTGGAATCCCTCCCACCCTGCTGGCCAGGAGGGAGCCTTGGGGTCAGCAGAGGGCAGAATGGGTGTTCGGGATACTCTGAGTGTTATCTGGAAGGAAAGGAAGCCTCGGGCTCTCCCCAGCTCCTCCTGCCACGTACACAGAGACCGAGACCCACCACGAAGCCACAGAATGATACACTGGAGCTCCACGGGCACATTTGGAACTCCCGTGCCCTGAGTCCCCTTCATGGGACCACAGTATATCCTTTCAAACACAGAAGGGAAGAAACACACACATGGCCATAGTGATTGCGCCAGGCCTGGCCATCTGTAGGAAATGGGGTGCTCCAGGCAGTGTGGAGCCAGGGAAGGCTTTTGAGGTGGGGAGTAACAAGATCCACCAGAAGGCTGGTGTCCACAGGGTAGGACAGGAATGGAGGCAGGGAGGAGGGGGCTGTGGCAGGGAGCAGTCACTGAATGCTGGGGACCTGGGCGCCTGGAGGCGCACAGGGTCTGGGCCAGTCTCCTTCCCACCTGGCAGCACCAGGCCTGCAATCCACAGTGCATAGAGCTCAGCCTTCTGGGCAGTGATGGCCTCACATGAGTCCCGGCTGGCAGTGCCAGGCAGGCTGTCAGGAGTGGAGCCTGCAGGGTGAGGTCTGGAGGCTTCCGGAAGCCAGGGTGCTTCTGCCAGGAGGGAAACGTGGCTGTGGCAGCAGCAGCTGCTGCCCTGGAGGCCAGGGCAGGAGGCTCCTGGTAAAACTTGCTTTGGGAGCCAGACTTGGGCTCAGGACAGTAGCTGCAGGGCTGCCAAGGAGCAGCAGGCCAACCCGACCCAACTCTAGGCCACGGGTGTCTGGGAAGGCGGAAGACAGGATGTTATCATCTCAGTAACATGCTTTACCTGGAGCACTGGATGGGGAGCCTGGTGACTCGGGCTCTAACCCGTGTGGCTTTGGTCACCTCTACCTTTACATCTGTCCTCCCTCCCTACGATCCCTGCCCTAGCCCAGGCCCTCCTTCACCCTGCAAGACGCTGTTAAGGCACCAGGTCTGTCTCTGCCTCCAGTGCCGGCCATCCAATCCCTCCTCCATAGTGTCCACCTACAGCCAGGGTGCGGTTAGAGGCCAGTGCCCAGGACTCAGCCCCCCCCCATTCCCACCCTCAAGGAGCTGGGGCGGTGTGTGGGAGGGGCGCAGCCCAGAGCCAGCTCCTCCCTGGGGCCTCTGCCACTAACTGCCTGCCTAGCCCTCTTTGCGCCTTATATCCCTTCCCCTTAGTCCTGGAGCTGGTGGCAGGAGGGTGGGAACATGGTTCAGGTCCAAGTTAACAAGACAGGCCTGTATCTCTTAGCATAGGTCGTCAGTCTGATAGGGATGGAGACTGCTGTGCCCCTCAGGTCCTCTCCCCTGTGGCCCCTGGCTTAGCACACGTGGGGGGGGCCCCTCAGGGAGCAGAGGGGAGTCCCATCAGAGGGGCTGCTGCCTCCCTGCTTGGGGAGGGCAGAAAAGGCCTGGAGGACCCTCCCCCTCTCTAGGCACATCCATCCCCAGGCCAGTTGGCCCCCAGCCTCAGCAGCCATGCGGTGAGACACAGAAAGCAGAGGTGCCCCTGTTCCCCACCACCCTGGTCTGTGCTCCAGGGAGCTCACCTGGTAGAACCAAGTCAAACCCACTGCCCCTAATGGGCTGGGCCTATCTGCAGGCCTGGGGCCTACCCCCAAAACCTAGCCCTGCTGCGGGG